CAGGGTCTGGCTCTTGCCCAGGTTGGTCTCAAACTCCTAAGCTTAGGCAATCTGAGGCAGGTGCCTCAGCCTCCCAGAGTGCTAGGATTACAGGCGTGAGCCACCACACCTGGTCTTTGGGAATTGGAAAAGCAAGGAAAATCAGTATGTAGGTGCCTGTTACATGCTGGCACTGTGCTAGGAGCTTTATAAATAAATACATATATAAGATACATAAAAATACATGTATATATGGTATATATAAACTACATGACATATATTAAAAATATGACACACAGATGCACCCACACATGTATGGTTAATTCTCATAGCCATAATAGAAGTTAGGCAGTAGCGTTCATACTTTACAGCCAGACATTGGCTCTGAGATTCTGAAGCCCAGAGTTACCTGGCAAACAAGATTCAAAGCCAGCCTGAGTCCAGCAGGGCCCAGGCAACTCTGAATGAAGAGTCTGCACTCTGCCTTGATCAGCCTTCTACCAGTTTTCTCCCTGTAGAAGGTCTTCCTTTAGGTTTTCCTTCCTCTTCACAGCTTGTGAATTCTTTCCCATTTCCAGATTAAGTATCTTTTCCTTAAGGGGAAAGTTAAAAGATCAAGGTACCTGCTACTGTTGTGTCAGGAGGGCTTAGCTTTACATCTAATTATTTCCATTGTCTTAAGAGGTTCTGGTGGCAAAGGACAGTTAATACTTCTCTATCACTAAGGAGACAGGGAAACTGGCCTGGAGATTAAACAAGTTGGTCTAGCCTGTAACACAGGAGCTAAGCTTCTGATTGTTAAAAAAAAAAAAAAAGTGATTTAATGGTAATTGCGCTACCATATTTGCATTTTCACAAAGTGAGACTCTTTCTCAAAAAAGAATCATGCATATTTGTATTTTCATTTTCAGAACTGCCATCATTCAGGGAGAGAAAACTGAACCCACAATGGTAGCCAGCAACTCTTCTTGTCATTAATGGAATTAGTTTTAGTTACAGTACCTACTATACTCTATTTTTCTAATTGTTAAATTGTACTTGGTTACAACTTTTTCTTGTACTTAGGAAACTGTCACAGACTGTGAGCAATAAAGCCCATATGGTGTGTGTATGTGGAGGAGGGGGGACTATGCGATTAGAGAATATCTAATTTGGCAATAGGCTCATATGACCAGAGCCATCTTTAAAACATCTTTGTAGACAAAAGTCTGTGCTTGGTGGGGTCCTTCACTGCCACGTTTGGGTTTTTTCTTTTGGGAGACAGAGTCTCACTCGTCTGTCTCCCTGGGTAGAGTGCCATAGTGTCATCATAGCTTACAGCAACCTCAAACTCTTCAGGTCAAGCCTTCCTCCTGCCTCAGACTCCTAAGTAGCTGGAACTACAGGCACCCACCATAACTTCTAGCTAACTTTTTCTGTTTTTAATGGAGTCTCACTCTGACTCAGGCTGGTCTTGAAGAAATGCACCTGCCTCGCCTCCCAGAGTACTATATTACAGGCGTGAGCCACTGCATCTGGCCAAGTTTTCTGTTTTTATTTGTTATTTTTTTGTAGAGACAGAGTCTCACTTTATTGCCCTCAGCAGAGTACCGTGGGGGTCACAAAGCTCGCAGCAACCTCCAGCTCTTGGAGCTTAGGTGATTCTCTTACCTCAGCCTCTCCGGAGTAGCTGGGACTACAGGCGCCCCCACAATGCCCGGCTATTTTTTTTGTTGCAGTTTGGCCGGGGCCAGGTTTGAACCTGCCCTTAGTATATGGGGCTGGCACCTTACTCACTGAGCCACAGGCACTGCCCAATTTTTCTATTTTTAGTAGAGACAGGGTCTCTTTCTTGTTCAGGCTGGTCTTGAACTCCTGAACACAAGCAATCCTCAAGCCTCAGCCCAGTGCTAGGATTACAGGAGTGAGCCATTAAGCCCAGTCAACTGCCATGTTATCAATGGCTACCTTACCTTGATGATACCTTTAACTCTAGGGTGAATCTTTTAAGGCTCTGGCCCCATGCCTAGACAGTGCCATTTGGTGTCCCAGAGGTAGTGTAATTCAACCAGGGCCTGAACAGACTTTCCAATCATGTTCTCAGTCCTCACTGTCCTGGGCTATGGTAGCATTAGGGTCTGTGTGCCCTTGCTCAGATTATGGCCTCTGAAGAGAATAATGTCTTTTTCCATATTGCAACAGTTGCTTTTATTCACCTGGAGCTGGTAGTAGGAACAAGCACATAAGCAAAGATATACAGGCCAGGAGGCATCTGTAGGTGTCTAAGTCACTTAGTCATAAGGGATGCTGAAGGGAGAGAAACTACTGAACTGGACTCCAAGAGCTCTTAAACGTACACAGGAAAAGTAAAAAGCCCATTCTGTCCAACATAGGGGGCCTGACAGATACTTGGACTTGAGTAAGAGACCCTGCTGGCTCTGCTGCTAATGAGCAGAAGCTCTTGGGCAAATCAACTTTCTTGAGACTACTTTTTCTTATGTAAATTAGAAACCTACTTCATAGGATTATAATAATTATTGTGGCAAATTTTTTTTATTAAAATTCTTCTACATATATACAAAATTTTATATATATAAACACTGGCCAGGTGTTGTAACTGGTGCCTATAGTCCTATCTATGTGGGTGGGAGGCTGAGGCAAGAGGATTGCTTGGGTCTGGGAGTTTGAGGTTACACTCTACCCAGGGTGACAGAGTGAGCCTGTCTCTAGAAAAAAAAAAAATTAAAATTTTTTTTAATTGTTGGGGATTCATTGAGGGTATGTACATAGAAGTGGGTTACATTGATTGCTTGTTAAAAAATTTTCTTTTTAGGGCGGTGCCTGTGGCTCAGTGAATGGGGTGCTGGCCCCACGTACTGAGGGTGGTAGGTTTGAGCCTGGCTCCGGCCAAACTGCAACAAGGAATGGCCAGACATTGTGGTGGGTGCCTGTGGTCCCAGCTGCTTGGGAGACTGAGGCAGGAGAATTGCCTGGGCCCCGGGGTCGGAGGTTGCTGTGAGCTGTGATGCTGTGGCACTCTACCAAGGGTGACAAGGTAAGACTTTGTCTCTTAAAAAAAAAAATTCTTTTTCTTTTTAAATCATTCATTCAGTATACCAAATTATCTAGTTATATTGAGTGCTGGAGAAAACTAATTTCCCAGAGGTGTCTTTCAAGCTGAGCCTTCAAAGTTTGACTTTCCTGGATGAAGAGGAATGGAGAGGGGCTTAAAGCACAGGCCCCAGGGAAGGAATAGTGTGTGTGGAATGTGGTGTCCTGAGAGCACCAAGAGGAAGGCAGAAATGGGGCAATAGGACAGAAGTATGTGATCGGATCACAAAAGCCACACATTCTATTCTGAGGCACAGGAAGCTATAGAAAGCAAGTATCTCCTAACAGCATCTTCCAGAGGCAGTATGGCAGACTGGAGAGGACAGACTTAGAGGTTTTTAATCATATAAACAAATGGAGAAATGAGAGAAGAAACTGTTTGTTTTTCCAGATGGGTTATGTGAAAGATTTTGACAAGGACAGATCTGGAGCTTAGTCTCAAAGGACACCTCTGGAGATCCTCATTAGGGGACTAGGGGACATCAGGTGGTTGTCTGTGCTCTCCGAGCATGATGGGCCAGCTGAATTCTATGGTCATGACACATCAGTGTGGAATGTGAAGCAGGTGTTTGTGGGTGCTGTGGATAACCAGGGTGTGCCACTGTTCTCTCATCTCTAGGAGGCTGATTTGCAAGGGTTAGATCCTAGCTTGGCGCTGCTGTCACTCTCTGCCTGTCACCTGAGGAGTAGGGGAGAATGCTTGAGTAGACCTGCAAGTATTCAATGCCGAATCAACTTTTTAGCCAAGTTTATCCACTTTGCATACAACCTAGACCAAAGGTGAGGTGCAGTGATTGCCAACTAGCTATCAAGAACAAGTTGCTGGGTTGATGTTAGAAGTTCTGAACAACCTTCTTTTGGGAAGTCTTTGGGAAATCTAATAAAATATTTCAGTCCAACACTGTACTTGCCTAAGCAAAAAATATGGGCTGTGGTGTAGTTGATAACAAGGATTCAAGAAGGTACATGGAGATAAGGCCATTTGTGTCACAACTCATCTGGCATTGAGTGGTGAGACTGTCACCACTATTGAGGAGAGACTAGAACTGAGCTTAACAGCCAGCTACCTGCAGACTCACAGCTGCACTGAGATAGTATAGAATGATGGGAAAGCTCTGCATTAATGTGCAAGACCAGAGTCTAAATTTCAGATCCAATAATGAATGTCCTTGAATGTTCTGTCGTGGTATCTTGCTTGGAATGTGAGAGGAACAAAAGGATGGTGAAAACTCAGCATTCACTGTGCTGATTGGTATCTTTGGCACACCAAACTTAATCCAAAAGACCCTGTAGTGACAGTGGTCACCTGGACCCTTCAATGTGTAGATATTTCCAAGAGACTTATGTGCACAGCAGCTTACCAGGGTTGCAGGGACAAATCTAAACAATTATAAACATATGAGAACTTCGCTAGCTAGCAAGCTTCCTAACTATTTAAGTTATTGAACCTAGCTCTGAGAGCTCTTCAAGAGAAGCTGTAGCCTTTGGTCACAGCCCCCAGAGCCCAGCAGGAAGGAAGCCAGGGAACTAACACTCCCATTTCACTCTCCTCTTGCCCACTGCTTTCCTGCTGGTACTTCCCACTGGCTAAGCCCATCTCTGTGGGTCATCCAGATGTCAGTGTCCTGGGGTGTGCATAAAGCAGGGTGGAGATGAAGGGCAGAGTGGGTTTAAGGGGTCACACATGGGGCTCTCCTGAAGGATATTAAAACTGGTCTCAGTCTCACGAAAAATCTGAGTTGACCAGCTGATCTGCTGCTTCTGCAGCACAAGCTTCATCATCTCCTAAATCATTATCAGAAGCAATATGCTGGGTGGTGCCTGTGGCTCAAGGAGTAGGGTGCTGGCCCCATATACTATAGGTGGTGGGTTCAAACCCAGCCCTGGCCAAAAACTGCAAAAAAACAAAACAATATGCTGTATCATGGTTCTTTTTTTTGTTTATTTTTTAGTAGAAAAACAGGTTCTTTAATACTTAGTATCAACATTTTACCAACTGCCACTGCTAGATCACAAAAAGTCAAAGCCAAATTTGTTTGACATTAGGCCCTTAAATCTGACATTCACATCACCAAGTACTACAAGCTGGAGCTGCGTACCCTGCTGTCTGGAAGGTGTTTCAATGAGGGCAAATTAAGGATTGTTTGAAACTTACAGTATTTAAGAATATCCATCATTCCTCTTAATGTCTATGGTAACAACAAAAAGAGAATTCAGAGATATGTTATTGATACAGAGTTTAAGAAAGCTATGTTTAATGATTCTAAACTCCAGCCTTAGATTTCTGTGTAGAGACTCAAGTGAAAAACCACCCCCCTTCCTCTCCTCTCCCGCTTCACCATGCCTCCTGGGGCCCAGGCACCAACTAGTCAAGCAGCCTCACCAGTCTCATCATTAGGTTTCTTCCCAACAGCTTGTGGTGAGAGCAGCAGCTTTAATTTGGTTATTTTAGTTTTCACCATCTTTAGTCCTTAGAACTAAATTCTTTTTTTTTTTTTTTTAAAAAAAACAAGAAAAACAGGACGGGTATAACTATTCTATGGAATTTAACAAGAAAAATAGGTCCCTTTTATGAAAAGGACTTTCAAGCTCTCTGAGCACACTATTTAACTGAAACAATTTTACTGAAGCATCTCCACATACAACTTAGTGTCCTGCCCCCAGCAGCCAGATGGATGGGATCTGTGTTACAGTCAAAAGGCTCTCTTTACTCCCTTAAATCAAATCCACACTCCTCCTGGCTGCACCCACAGAATTACCCATAGGAGAAACAATAAAGATCCTGCTGGACAGCCATGAGCAGCCCCGGTCCTCCCCGGAAGCCCCCCAGCCGAGAAGAGAAGGCCACGCTGGGAATGTCGGCCTTGGAGGCAGGGTACGGAGAAGGTATGGTTCTGAGCAGCTGGGCATCATTGAGGCTCCAGATTCTTGTGTAGCAGTCCTGGCCCACTATACAAGAGGGAAGACACAGGCAGGTTAGCTGGAGAATGCAAAAGGATATGTAGACATGCCTTCTGAAGACTGTTTAGAGCTAACCATGATTTCATGAGAGCCAAAACACAAACTCACTAACAGGAAAGTATTTCTATTGGTAACAGGAGTCACTCTGGTGCTCCAGAACCGTAACTAGTTACAGGTATTTAGTGACAGGATGCACTGGTTGGCTGTGAAATGCTGTGGGCGACTTAAAAGGCATCCTGGCTAACAGCTGGGCGTTTTGCTTCTCTTGGGAGCCCAGCCCACCAGGTCTGGAAAACAGGCAACTGATGTCCTTCTTATTGAAACGGTGACCAGGAAGATGTGTTAACTTCAGAGCAGGTTGACAACTCCCCAGAGCTCTTTTGGTTTAATGGTTCAGTCTTCAGGGCTTGTAAATTCTGAGGAATGTGACCACAGCACCAGGGTTATAGGAGCCCAGATGCATGCTGACTTGCAGCTGCCTGGCAACGCAGCTTAACTCTTCTCTACTTTCTAGCACACAGAAGCTCTTCTGAGATAAAATTTGTGAAAAATAGATTTTAAAAGGAAGATAAGTGCCTGCACTGATAGGAGTAGTATGACTAAGAAAGTTTTAACAAAGTGATTATTTCTTAGCCACAAAAGCATTTCATGGGGAGTAAGGACTTTCTGTAGAAATATATAGTATTACCAAACTTGAGGATTCATGAAGACTGAAAATGTATTTCTTAATGTCAAGGGCCTATTTCACATGTAGAAACGCTGATCTTTCATGCTATCACACGGGGATGGTGGTAAAGGGATGAGGAAGCAGTTACTTGACAATGACCCTAACTTCTTTTCTCAGCATCCCCGATGCAAATGTGAACAGAACAGGGAGCCCTCATTTTTAGATAAGCCTGCACATGATAAGATGATGCTGGCCTGATGGACAGACTCAAGCCAGGTCCCTCAGTACCTCACCTGCCTGTTTCTGAAGTGATGTTTGCCCACTGACATGTAGAAAGACACAGGCTCTCTAACTGGTGGACATTTAAAATGCTTATTCCTTCCAGTCTCCCCACTCAACTATCCCTTGTTTCAGTTCTACTTCTGAGTAACCCCCCCCCTTCTGCTGCTGAGTTTCTGGGGCTGAGTGATACCTGCCACCACGATTCCTTCTTCCTCGTGCACGTGCAAGGGCAGGTAGGCATGCTCGTTAACGTGGCCTTCATATTGCCTTATACACTTAGTGGTCCTCAGGTCCCACAGCTTGATCTGTGGGGAGAAGCAGGCACATGGTAAACCCTAGGTGTGAAGCCAATAGAGCGAGGAGGTCTCCAGTGCGCTCTTTAGGTCATGAAGGTCTATATTTCAAACTCCTGAGCCCTTCAATCCATCAAAAGCAGGTGACTAGGTAACCCCACCCTCTTCACTCTAGCTCAGATTATGCTCACATGAGCAGCAAAGCGGCCCTTGTGGACAGCCTACAACTTGCTTGGTCTCCAGCTACCTTTCTTGTGCATGATGTCTTGGCACAAAGGTTTCTTCTGCAGAACCCCTTTACCTGGCAGGGCTCTGGGACACACAATTCTGTGCTTGAGAAGGCAGTGTTTCCTTACCTTTCCAGCCATGTCTGATGCCATCACCCACTGCTCTTCTTGGAGAATTTGCACAGAGGTCACTGCTGAGTCATGGAACAGGCGAGCAGCCCTCCACCCGTTGCCTTGATTTCCACAGCGCAGGTCAATAGCAAAGATCTCCCCAGAGCGACAGCCATTAAACAGCAAAGGAGCCTATGCGAAGAGGGATTGCTTAGTGCCCAGATACTACTACAGCCCCCCGAGACTGGGAAGGGCATATCCTCCTGAATACATTCCTTTCTTGCCTCCCCCCTCCCAGCCCCTGGGTCAGAAGGTGTAGGTAGATATGTGTTTGTCAGGTTTTGGGTCTCAATGGAGTCAGGAGGGAGGATTCCTTGTGAGAGGGTAAAAGTACTGGGGAACACACAGGACACAGCTGGCTGCACTGTCCCCTTCATCCTGCTTGTGAAACCCCAGTGATGGCACCCTGTTTCCACCAAGGTCTTTGGTAAGGCTCATAATGATGAGTATGGAGTAGGAGAGATCAGATGTGGGGTTCTGATTAGGGGGGCAGATGGCCAAAGCAGGCCTTAATAATGAACTCTGTGCTTGCTGCCAAAGCAACAGACTCCTTCCTCCCCACTTTCATAAAAAGATAGCATTTACCACAGGGAAGCCTTTGAAATACAGTATTACTAAAATTTTGATTTCATATATAAAATGGACAATTTTGGGTTTTTTTTGGAGACACAATCTTAACTCTGATCCTCCTGCCTCAGGCTTCCAAGTAGTGGGACTACAGGCGCCCGCACAACACCTAACTAATTTTTTTATTTTTAGTAGAGATTGACTGGTCTCAAACTCCTAGGCTCAAGTGATCCTCTTGCCTTGGCCTCCCAGATTGCTAGGATTATAGAGGTGAGCTGCCATGCCTGGACTAAAATGTACAACTTGGGAAATGCATATGAAACTATTAAATGCTGTGAATCACTAACAATTATTCTAAAGCCAGCTTAGGCAGGCCTTTCTGGATCAGCCAATATTCACTTGGCTCAGACATATTCACAAAGTGACCTATTAATCCTTTCTGAAACTCTTTTTCCCCTATAAAAGAGGGAGGAGTAGATGCTGCACAGGGGAATCCAATTTTTATCTAGTCAAATTTCCATTCTTGGCAACTTTATATTATACCCTTCCCAATCCAACGAACCAGGAGAGCAAACTGCTGGGTCAAGACATCACTGCTGGTCCCAAATGACTGCTGGTGCCCAGTCACCACATTGGTTAGTAGCACGCGCCGAGATAAGCCTGGCAGAGACAGAGATGGGCAGGTAAGACAACGTTACATGTAGTCTGGGGGAAGGGATGCTGGACGGAACCTTAGGGTCTGCTAAATCCTCTCTTCTGAGCACCTTGGCAAGGCAGGCTTACCTGTACTGAAACAGTTATTTGCCTGGATGTTCAGGGACCATGCACAGGACCAGGCACCAGGAATCCGGAAACTGCAGAGCATGCCAGGCCGGTCCACTCCTGCTAATCAGAATCAGAATATAGAGCATGGATGTCTTCCAGGTAGGATAGAAACACCCTTATCTGCCCAGAGGTGCTGCAAGGGTCTATTCCTTTGCCCCATTGGGGGTTTCATGGTTGCGAGAGAGAGAAATTCAGCTGGGCTCTGGGCTCAAAAGTGGTTATTCTGAGAGTTAACATATAATTTACATTCCCAGTGGTGTCAGGAGTACTATCAGCTAATAGGGAGGCAGTGTGGTATCCACAGATAAGTTGGTTTTGATCCCAGATCACACTTCCAGCTCTGTGATCTCAAGGAAGACATTTTATTTATTTATTTATTTATTTTTTGGAGACAGAGCCTCAAGCTGTAGCCCTAGGTAGAGTGCTGTGGCATCACAGCTCACAGCAACCTCCAACTCCTGGGCTTAAGTGATTCTCTTGCCTCAGCCTCCCAAGTAGCTGGGACTACGGGCGCCAGCTACAACGCCCAGCCATTTTTTGGTTGCAGCTGTCATTGTTGTTTGTCAGGCCTGGACTGGATTCGAAC